ATGTGTTTAATCAAAAATTCTACTTGATTCTGAAATAATATCTTTCTTATCCTGCCACAAAGTTCAAAAGCACAAGGAGTATTAAGTTTGAAATTTCCTTAGTAAATAAGTATATTTAGTCTCATGTATTCTTTCAGCACGAATGATGTCTTGTATACATCTAGTGAGTTATTCTGGGACCCCTGGTGCTTCAATTAATTACTCACTCTTAATTAAAGCCTTAAAGCTAGCAGCCTTTCATAAACTGCCTTTCACATACTGTTGGTGTGAAAAACATTTTCAATATAAATCTAAAAAGAAGAATAAAACTAGTATTGTGACTACTCCACCCTTGCTCTTTTTTATGACAGAGAGGCTGTGAATTTATAGACTAATCTGAGGCCATTACCTGCATAATTTAAAAAAGACACAAATCTGACAAATGCTATTTTGATAATGTGATTGAAACACACTTTTGAAAGAAATAAAGTTAATACATATTTAGCCCTATAACTTTGTCATTCTTCTTCCTGTCTGTCCTGGGCAGAAACACCTTTCTAACCTCTTTTTTCTTATGTCCTTTTTGCTCAAGGACTTCCTTAGCCCTACACCAGAGACTGAGTGAATTCAAGGGGAAGTTTTGGAGGTGAAACAGAAATGTTCTTCTCACACGTGAATAAGTCAAAGTCCTGTTTGATAAGTCACAGAAAACCCTTTCATATTACTGTTAGTATTTTGGTTGGTTTCCCCATCCCAAGTTCCTTTAAGCCGTATAGGTAAAGTGCCAGAGATACTAAATTCAATCACCCCAGAACTTCTAAGTGTAATATATCTTTAGGCATCTATTAAAAATATCTGCACCAGAAGACACACAGCACTAATGTCAACCCTCCAAAATCAGGTTAAGCTGAGTTGTCCTCATTAGGCAGCTTATATTTTAAATGACCAAACTCATACTGTGTACCAAGTTGCTCAGTTAAATCCTGGCATGTGTCCCTATGGCTTTTCATGAGCTGCCTGAGATCCTATTTCTAAAGCCTTTGAATTCCTTTTAAATTCCAAACAAGGCAAAGTTGGTTCCTGTACATGAAGCAATGCAAAACAAGCTTGCCAGACCTTAAATTAGGGGAAAGAAAAAGAAAGTTCTACAAAAAGCTGCTAATGACTTCTATTTCTGGCTTACAATTTTATTTTTTAATATTTAGAAACTGTGGCAAGCTTTTCAGTAATCTTGAGATTCAGAGGAATGTGGCCCCAAAAAGCTCTGAGGATCATAATACACTCTATTTTCTGTGTAGAATCCTCTTTGCAGACAAGCATCTGTGTGATTCAAACACAACAGGATTTGAGCAATGGGTAGAAATACAAGACTTAACAGCAAAAGGTGGCATTCTTCTCAAGAACCACAGATTTAACATCAGTGTAAAAGAAGGGAGTATTATGCTCCTAAGGTTACATGAAGATTGCATCTGGAAGCAAAAAATATAGGTGGTATTTATCATCTGTGAATGCTTGTTCTGCAAGTCAAAAGCACATGCTCAATCCTCTGATCATAATGTATATTGGTACTCTATTCTCCACTCAAAGTAAAATACAAGAAGTTAATTTCTGTTTCAGCCCTGCTCCCCATATCAGACAGTTGCTGAATTTTGAACATAGAGTTTATTCTTTAGAAAAAAAAAAATAAGAAGTATTTTGACAAAAGGCAAGATGACATATCACTGCTTGTAAGCACAGTTCCGTCATGCTGGAATTCTGTCATTCTCAAGTGTTTAAAACACAGGGATTTCTTCCTTATGTGCTATACACCAAAGAATTACTGGAAGAAAAGCTAAATGAGATGCTACAGTAAGTTAGTGAACATCTGTTAGCAAAAGCAACAAAACCAACTGTGGTTATGACGAAGGTGTTTGCAGGTGGACCAACGTCCTCCTTTCCTGAGGAAACAGCCCAGACTATAAGCATACTTTTGTAACACTGGAAAAACATTAATTCATATTAACTTAGTTATCCTGCCTATCTTCACCTATCTGAATTATTGTTCAGTAAAATCTCTGTTAGCAACAAGCTGAAGAGAACAGTTAAGACTTTCCCAGCGCTCAGCTCAGTTTTCTGCTTGTAATGAACAGCATTATTAAGATTAGCTTCCCATTTGTAACATCAGTGTCCTGGAGCATAACACTGATGAATCAAGCTTCTCACACATACACTGCAGGAATATATGTTGTGTGCAACAGTTCAAAATGCCATCACAGCTGCAAATGTGAGTTTAAAATATGAGGTCTATAACATGTTTTTCTAATTTTACTAATGTCTGCCACAAATATATTTGTGACAGACAATGCACAATTTGGTACAAAAAGTGCACAAGGACTTGTAGAAAACCTACAAAATACAGGTTCTGTTCTTCAACAGCAGTAAATAGAACCAACAATATAAAGTCTAGTCAAAGCTGCATGATCACATTTATTACAATTTTTACAATATGATTTATCCCCTGTTGGTAACAATAGTGCTAGCTGCAGCAATATTCAAATAGATTAAAAATACTTCAGCAGACATAAACAAAGAATTGTTCACCAGCTGCTTCTTGTAACACTTTTATAAAAAGTCTTGTGCCATGGGGCTGGTGACTCTTGCCAACACCCCTTGCAACTTGATAAATCTATCTGCTTATTATCAATACAGCCATATTGAAATCTAAATCACAGGAACTCCCAGTAAACTGCTACCTGCTAAACACTTAGCACAATTTCATTGTACTTGATGGAAATATATCCAAACTCTTTTTAAACAGAAAAGTATTCTTAACTTATTCTGAAAAAGGTTGGGAAACAGCAATGGAATATAAAAGCTCAGTGAGTAGAAGCAATTAAAAAAGTATCCTGACTGCATGACCACTATGCAAAACTAATATTCAGCATTCCACAGTGAATTAAAAGCAGACTGCCTTTTGTCAATGAAAACAAACCTATCCTGAAAATGAAAACAGCCACAGGATGTTTTCCTTCAAATATTTTGAAACTCAAGTTAATGAAAAGGTAAACAGTGTAGTCGGTATTTCATGAGACTACAGAATATTGCTAAGGATAGAAAATCAAATTTTTTTAAAATTGTATGTTTAATGACTAAGTGGGAGAATCAGAAATAAAATACTGGAGAAATAACTTCTGTTCAAGCATAGAAGGGATGCCTTCTTTAGTTGGGGATGTTATAGTCAACCAAAAGCAACCAGTAAAGTTATGATATATATTGTACATATTCTTCTACTGCAGTGAGGTTAAAAGCCTTCTACGGATTTAAGAAAGCATCAGCATTCTATCCATCAGCTTGATTTGAAATGTAAGTTCCATCCACTAAAAACTGTGAGATTAACAGACTTCCATTCCCCAGAAAAACGGGGCCACCAGCAGAAAGTAACAGAATCAATAACAGATCAAAACCCTGAAACAACTCCATGCATTATACATTTTCAAGAATTAAAGCCTATTTTAAGACTCTAAGTAAATATGAGAAGCATATTTTCATATCAGTCATGACTATGAATATATAAAAAATAATGGGGTGAAAGTAAGATTAATTAAATTCCTTCAGCATTGTTTTCAATAAAATTGCAACCTTAGAAAATAAAATTTCAGCTGTGAACCTACAGACTCCTTTAAAAAATAGCATCAATAATTTCATTTTTGTGCTCCTTCACTTTATGAAATCAGGATAAGCCTGATGAATTTGAAGTCTTGGCAGAAGAATCTCCTGTGGTTAAGTGACAAAATGTCACTGAATTTAGCATCCCTCTTCAAGGACGAAATCCCTCTCCACGTGTCCTCACACATTCAAAATCTTCATGTCTGCCCCATTTCCAATATCACAGTAACCAGTTTCTGACTGCCTCATCTTCACACTGGAAAATCCTCGTTAAATAAATTTAAAAGAAGAATGTTCTTTAGCTTCATGTCAGTGTATCTGTGACCTTTTCCTTACTCTCTTCTATCATTAAGAGAAGGAAAAGCAGTTAGGATGCTTCTACCCAAACCCTTCTCCAGAAATACAAAATTCCTATGATATTTTCCTATTAACTTGATTTTGCTGACATAAAACATTGAAAAACTTGCTGCACACTATGCTAATAACTGAACTACATCACACAACTGTAATATGCAACAGCAGAGTTACATTACAAACTAATGATGCCATTAAAGGAGTAAATGACCCAATTCTACATTAAAACTTAGCCTGTGCACAACAAAACATTTCAAGTTTCAGCCTTCCTCAGTGGACAAACCACAGTAATTAAGGATAAAGTGAAAAAACCATAAAACCTAATGCACTGACATTTTTAAACTCAGAATTGCCTTCTCGCATCAAAAATGTAACATGCTCTTTGAAATAGGACTGCTCTCAGCCTCAGCTGCTTATTTCACTGAGTGTCTTCACACTTCCATGTCTTCATTTTATCCCTTACGACACCACTAGTTAGGCTGTTAATATTTGATACTGGACCATCAGCAGACTTCAAGAGAAACATTACACTGAAATGAATGAGGCACAGGAGTGTAAGAATTCCACCTTCATTTCAAGCTAATGTTTGTCCTGTTTTGTTTACACATGGAAACTTCTCTCTGCATTTAAAAGTATTGAGAGCCTTTTTCCAACTGTTGCTGAAAGCTTACTTAGATTATTTATACTAATTGAAAATGAATATATGCTAATTGAATTTATACTATATAATGTATATATACTATATAAAAAAACCCAAATCTATTTATAAAGACTAAGAAATCACTACTATGCTTCCTGGTATTCTGTTCTAATTACTATGGACTAACCCACCTGACTAATGACAATTCATACCAGATAGCTATTCATTTTCCTGTAGATACATCCCAGTGGATAAACCTCCTCAGAAAAGGAAGATGTACAATGAAGATACATTGTGCCAAATCCATGTTCTTGCACCCACGCATGCACCTTTTCATACTCAGAGAAGCAGAGGAAGGAAAACAAAAACCAGCAAGTCTTACCTTTTTGCAGACACTTTCAAAATTAACTTCTGTCCTAAGAGCAAGTCTGGTAACTTCATCTGGTTTTATTTCCTGTAGATGAAAGATAAATTTATTCTTCTTATGATCAAACTATATGAAGTCTTACCTTCCTTATAAACAGTCTAATCGTGGCACCTCCCTCATCTCTTAAAGGAAGAAAATCAGCTCATTATATGGCAATTTTTTTAGTGTGTATGTAAACACTACATTTATACTGACTGACCTTTTCAAAACACTACCTTATACTTAATCTGACTGCATATACTAGTGCTGAAGGCAATAAGGGTTTTTCAGCAGCAAACTATGTAGAATGGGTGGTTTCATTCACAGAAATATTTCAATTGTCCATATTGTTGTACTACAAATAAACTTCGGAACGCCTTGACATCCCAACTTATGTTCTGATGAAGTTATGTCTTATCAACATACATGAATATGTAAGTTAAAGACAATGAAAATGAAGCTGAGATGAAAAAAATACTATGGTTTTTTTTTCTAAAGAGATTGACTGAACATGCAGCTTGCATTTGTGCACTTAAGCATTTGCACTGGCAGCTGAAATAGAGGAATGAAAATTCCGGACACCGGATTTTGTTAAAAGCTGAATATTTTACAAAGCATGCTCCCACGACAGATTTCTTGCTATTTTAAGATACATGCTTTCTGTAGGTTGTATTATAAAATGCTCTATTAACCTCACCAAATTAATTAATTGAACATTATTTTCCTCCTAGAACAGTGCAACAAAAAGTCATGTTGCATACCAGTTAGTTTCCCAGATAGCCATTTCAAAAGCAGTCTAACTATTCTTATGCCAGATCCAAATAACGTCACCACATTTTGAAAAGTTAAAATTCTCTACAAAGTAACTTAGTTCTTCTGATAGCTTTCATGTTCAACAACTATATTGTATTTGTTAATTTCTTTCTTTCCCTGTTTAAGAATTCTTGAAGCAGTCTGTAAATTTCCTTAGACATAATTTCAGGAAGAACCAAGTAGCTTACCTTCTTATAAAAGGTCATACCTTACATCTCAAAACCTTATGTGTTTCTTCTTTGTATATATAAGATACTTTACAGACACTTGCAATTTATCCATTTATTTATTAAGAGTTTCATATGACTTAAAAGTGTAAACAATTATCTACTAACGGGAAAAAAAGTAACAGAACTCAGTTAAATTAACAACAACAACGAAAAAAAAAATCTCTTTTTGTGAATGTCAGAAGAACTTCCTGACAGTAAGATCTAGAACTCTGCAAAATCGTCTCCCAAAGGCACTAGTGGAAGCCCAATCACTTAGGGGACAGGATCCACACTGGAAAAACACTGGTGGATGTAGGAAACAATCTTCTACTGGCAGATGAACAATTGGATGACCTAATAGAGATGGAAAAGACCTATGATTCAGTTTTCCATGACTTCCCAAAGCGTTTCACAGATGGTGAAAGTAGGACACGTTGGTTAAGTGACATACTTACTGTCACATAGGTTAGGAGTTACGAATGAAGCTCTCTAACCCAATATTTTTTATTAAATCAAGCTGTTGGTTTATGAAAAAAGAACAAAACCACAAAAAAAGATAATTCCTGTGATCTTCATCCCAAATAAAACTGCCTATTTCCTGTCTCCTTAAGATTTAAATGCTGCAACAGAGTTCAGGGCAGAGGCAGACAAACTTCAGCAATCCCTCCATGAGAATGTCAGAAGTTTAATTTTGATATGACAATATTGCAGAATTCCCAGGACATTGCAGAATCATGAATAATACTGAAGAATGAATTACACTTTGGAATGTGAAGTCATTAAAGCCACACTGAAATGCCTAGGATACAAAATGAGGCCAAGAACCTTCCGTTCAGGCTTAAATCCCCAACTTTATAAATGATCTCCTTCACTTCTCCTAGACTTAAGGCAAACTAAGCATTTTTGACTTACACATTCTTCCACAGAACCTTGGTTTTGTAAATGTAGTCACATTAGTCAAGTTACTGTAGTAAATACATGTTTATTCTGTCTCTATTAATGGTCAGCAACAGATAATAAAATAGAAAAAGAAATAGTGCTATTTTATACAGTTTTATCAACTTTGAGATGCACGTGACACACAAGGAAAATCTTAGTACTGAATATCTATTATGGAACGTTCTTTCCAATTATGCTAAGGGATGTTATAAATGGAGCCCCCTCCAGCATCTTTGAGGCCCATCCAGGGATTCCTCCTGCCCTGACGCTGCAGCCCAGCCCAATGTGTCCAGAGATCCATAGGTGTCTGGCCCAGGTCCATATATGTAGCAGTTGCTTTCTTATTGACATGTTCAACCAGTAGAGAAGCTCAGCTTTACAGGATGTAGCACTCTCAGGACTCACACGAACTTCAGTAAAGCCAGCCAAGACCTCTCCTTTCTTTTCTCATCAGGACTGAAGTTCACTATCGAGAGCATGCCACCTTCCACCACCTCAAAATGCACAAATCCATGAGGACTTGTGGGTCCCTCAGTAGCAGCACAGCTTATGCTTCTGTCCATCTAATACCCCTTGGCCTGGGCCATAGCTCTTGCGCACCCCCATGGGCCTCCCATTTGCTGGCTGGCAGCGAGTCACCAGAAGGTACATGCACACACTCACCTTACAGGCACCAGCAAGGGCCCTCTGGCCACCTGATATCCCTTCCCAGATCACAGAAACACAGAACACAAAATGGTTAGAAGAGGCCATAAAGATCCTCTAGTTCCAACGCCCACCATGGGCAGGGATACCTTCCACTAGACAAGGTTGCTCAGGGCCCCATTCAACCAGGCCTTGAACATTCCCAGGGATGGGGTATCCACAGCTTTGGGTAACATGTGCCAGCACCTCACCACCCTGACAAAAAGGAATTTCTTCTTAATATCTAACCCCAATCTATCTCAGTTTAAAGCTATTACCCTATGTCCTATCACTACATGGCCTTGTAGAAAGTCCCACTCCCACACACCGCTACTCCAATTTGAGGTTTGCAAGTGAACTGCACATGCCAAAGAGACACACACGTGGGGTCAAAGCACGTGAGTATTAGACAGTCTGCCTGTCCCGTCAGCAGTAGCACGGGCACACAGGCTGTGACCAGCAGCCCAGTCCAGATGTGCCAAGAGTCACCCCAGCATGACTCGCTCCAGTCTCACCCGCAGATGCACATAGGATGCACGCTGCCTGTCCTCCCTGACAGTGCATATGCTGTTAGTGCCCAAGTGCCTGAAGCTGAGACCCTGACTGCACTGACACCACAGGCTTGGGGCACCTACACTCCTGCCCTGACCCCTGCTGCTTGCCCCATACCCTCAGCAGCTGGCACCTAGTCCTTACAGCACTTGCCGGCAGGGGACAAAGAGGTGAAATTACAAACAGGTAAGAAAAGAAAAAAATGTCAAGACGACACTGGGAAGAGGTGGCAAAGGCGGCAGGACCAGCCTGACTCAATTTTTGTAACAGTGTGGGGACAGATGCTCCTCCAGTCCTTCAATGCTCAGGCAGCTGCTCCAGTGCGCAGTGGAGCAATGTCAGGAGAACTGACCTGTCAGCCAGCTGGATCCTAGCTGCAGATGATCAGGCCTTGGCCTGAGACTAAGATGAATAAACAGGGTGTGAAAAACTACTGGACATAAGAAAGCTGGATGTGACAGACAATGCAAGAAGCTGCAGAATGGCTGTACAGATCATCAGGGCAGAGTTACACAAAAACCAGACAAGCTCCATGGAAAGGTGGAATACCGGGCAGACTTCAGGGGTGGACATTCTGCAAGGTACTAAGGTAACTGAACTAATAATATTAAATGAAGCCAACACTGCATACAGAGTTACACTGAAACACCAAATTTGTGGAAAAAGTAACTATGGGTGGGCAAAGACTGGCCTAAACTGGGGGAAGTGAGCACTGGGGCACAGGAAGGGGTGGTTGTGGGGCAGGCAATCATCTCTGAAGAGAGAACTAGAGGCAGCAAGCTCACCTCAGTACTTACAGAAACTCAGAATAGCAATGTTAGTAGATTTATTTTTTTTAATAAACCATAACTGTCTTACACAGAAAGACAAGACTATATTGAAGAGAAGTATGTCAAACATAAATGGTATGTGAAAATAGGATTTCATACTTATATTGATTATGGCTGCTCAGATGACACTTTATCCAAGTGATACTGAGTAAGATAGAGGTTCTAACCGAAAAGGCATGGAAATGCAATTTATTAAATAGCCTCTGGAAGACAGCAAAACCAAAAAAACTTGCTGTCAAATGAGGCTTCAACACATCTCAGAAATGCAAGATTTTTCATACAAAATGTATTCCCAGCTATGCTGTCTCAGGCAGTTTTAGATTACTGAGAAAAAAACCCCAGGCTGCCAGTGGCCTGTGGAAGCAATTTAAGAGTCCTCAGACTACTAAAAAGACATAATTTCAATTTTGTTTTGACTAGTATTTTTTGTTTACCTTTATCATAAAATCCATTACTTCTCATCGTTATTTTTTGACACTTTCTTAGTGTCAAAAATATAGAAACAGAACATTCCTACCAAAAGTCATATTTCTGGTGAAATCTCAGGTATAGTTTGCTACCCATTTAATACACTTCCAGCTTTTAAAACATAACCATAATCTTTACTCTTACACCAGTGTTTGAGACTATTTCCTCACAAAGTTTCTTCTTTCATTCAGTATCATTTTGCTACTTTGTCATTTTTCTAGGCTGCTTATGGGGAGAAAGGTATAAGAGAAAAAATTCCATAACACTTTTTTAGCTTTTCTTTCCCTAAAATTTAATCCCTCTATATCTTCTTGTCATAATCAATTTGCTCTGCTAAGTCTTCAGAAGTTCAGTATTTTAGTCATTCAGAACAAAAGTAGTCTTAGACTTACGGGTAAGCATTACCATTGTGAAAATATACAAAAATGGGGTATCTTCAAAGTAGTGAAATAAATCAGCCATGTCTCATCTGAAAGCTTATCCAGCTTCCAAAAAGAAACTAAATCCATTCTAAGAGCACAAATTTTTTAAGTTACAAAGGCATGCTTTCCAG